AAAAATCTGAAACAAAATGTAAAAATTATGGCATTTGACTTTGTTGCAGTTGTTTTATCTCACCCTGTAGATATAAGGTTTATTCTGAGATTTATAGTGAAATTTTTTGTGTAGAATATTTCCCCTTTTGACAACTTCTGTCTAAAACGAGATTTTATTTTACTTTCAGGCATTATCTCGAAAAAAGTCTGAGGAAAAATTGATCAAAAAAACTAGGAAATATTTTCGATTTTTTTTTAACTTTGATGGACATATTTTTTTGATATGCAATGGAAATAGAAATTTCTTGTCTTTGGTGACTTATAGCGAAATTTGATAAAGAATATTTTTGTCCTTGGGGCCATCCTTCAAAAAGGATGCTTTTTTGGAGATTTTTGCATAAACTCACATAGAGTACGGCTTTAACCCTAAAATGTGTTTTAAGTATATATGAATTGCTGGCGTTAGGTAAGTTTTAGGTTTTTGACATGTTCTAGGACTCATAGCAGAATTTCATGGCGAATAATTTTGCAGAATATTTTGAGTTGCTACGATCCCGTTTAAATTCAGTTTTAGCCTATATTTAAAAAAAAGGACCAAAAAGACCCCTTTGTTGACTCGCTTGAGTATTTTAATATTTGAATATTTTCCTACAACCCTCCACGTAGGTGCCTACGTCTGCTGGGTCATTGCATTCTCTAGGGTCTGGTCTCTCCCAGGCAATGCAATTATGAAATGCTGTTATGTAACCCCACGTAATTTAACCCTATTTTCTTGAAATATTCCTCCCACTTGTGGCAAACATTCTTTATGCAGGAATTTCGTTTCGTTTTTAAATTATAAGAAATCTCTTTACAAGTTAAGCACTTAACAATACCCACTTTGGCAGTTAACAACCTACAAAACATGAACGGAACCCCTTTAGCAACATCTTTCCCTATTTTTCTTTTTCTTTCTTTTCTCTTTTTTTTGTTTTGCTGTTCAAAATAAAAAATCAACGCAATTTTTAATATGTGCAAGTATTGCATGCATTACCCCATGCATGCCATTTCATCACCCCTTCTCCCCCCTCAGCCAAGAGCATGCAATTGGTGGGTAGTAATGTAAACAAAGAGGCTTGAGGTTCTGGAGGGGGAGGTCATGAAAATCTAAGGGAGTAGGAAGGACGGTGCTGCTGTGATTGCACAAAAATGAAATGGATACGCACTAAAAATAACAACAACAATAATGACGCAAAACACCAACATCATTTGCAAAAGTTACGCATAGGCACGTTGTAAACAAAACAACTTGAAACCTCCACCACACCACACCACTCCACACCCCATCTCACCCCCATTTTTTTCTACTAAAGATTTCCTTGGAAACATTGTTGATTCAATAGCCAACCAGCCAAGGTAGTAACAGCAGCAACAACAATATTTGTGTTGCCTCCACCCTGAGAATGAAGAAAAAAATTCAGCAGCTCAGCATGATGATCCTCCCTCTGCCCTTCTCTTCTTCTACCAGGACGAAGGACCTACCAATATTATAATAACACATCAGGCATGCTGGCAGGGTGCGGGGTGAAGAGCCTCCTGCATTGCATCTACTGCAAACCAATTGAGTGGGTTGTAGTGCCAGTCAAGTATCCTGTTAACAAAATAATGCGTATAATAATATTTATATGGCGGGGGGGGGGGGGGGTGTGCCCTCGTAACACCCTTGTCTTCATACTCCAAACCAAGCTAAAAAAATGTGGCCCTCACTTTTCTCCTTTATCAAATCCTTGTAACAACAATATGTTATGAATTTGTCGAGGTTTAACAGGCCAGGACCCAGAAACGTGCCTCCCCAAGTAACAGTAACAGCCACAACACCGACGACGACGAAGATGCCGGCAGCACTCGTCGAGAGCCCCATAATCTTCTTCTAACTACCATGAATTATATGTCATAATCTAGTCAAGAGTCACAACTGACAACTGGCGTTGTTGTTGTTGTTGCTGTTGTTATTACTACTGCTGCTATTGCTGCAACAGCTAGTAATGTGAACAAGCACTTGAGTAGATAAAACATGCTGAGCTTGTGCCAAGTAATATTAGCAGGAAAAGAGGAAGCCAAGGGAAGTGAGAGCAGCAAGCATATCCTTGTGTAAAGTAATTTCTAGGAATGAATGAATTACAGCTGTGTAAGTATGTTTGCAACTTATGCCTCACACATAAGTGGCATAATATATATGAGAAGGAATCGGATAAATAGTTGGGAAGTAACAACAAGGTTCAATAGGATGGTAAATAATTTTCATTGGGTGATTTTCCATAATGACATCTCGTAAAGAGGGGGGGAAACTTGCAATAATTTGGCTTATGGCGGCGTATGGGGCGTATGAGTGGTGACAACGATCATACGTCACAGTGTACAGCCACAAATAGTCTGTAGCAAAAGCTGGACCTTTATTGATATATTTATACCCTACACCATACTATGGAGGGTATATTAACTTCGACATTCCGTTTGTAACTCCTCGAAATACTCACGATATACCCTATAAAGTATGTATATTCTGGATCAGTGTAAAATTCGAAGTCGATTTAGCGATCTCCAGCTGTCTGTACTTCTGCCACGCTATCTTTCAAACAAATTGAGATGGAAGGCTAAAACTTTGCACACATTTGTATTTTGTCAGTAGGTAGGTTAAGTTCGTAGATGGGTCATGTCGGTCCATAATTTCTGATAGCTCCATACAACGATACCTCCCGATATTCGGTATTTTGTTGATATTATAGACCGGAATTGTTACAAATTTTGTATTGGAAGATCTTAATGGATGCTACAACCTATGACAAAAAATTACGTATGCAGGTCATATAGAACCCATGCAACGATAGCTCCCGATATTCGGTATTTTATTATATCTCGAGACATTATAGACTGGAATTCCTTCAAATTTCGTATTTGAAAATCTTAATAGGTTCTACACCCTATGACAAAAAATTACTTATGCAGGTTCACGTTTTCCTGTAGCTCCCACATAACGGTACCTCCCGATATTCAGTATTTTGATGATTTTAGTGACATTATTCAACGGAATTGTTTCAAATTTCGTATTTGAAAATCTTAATGGGGGCTACAACCTATGACAAAAAATTACTTATGCTGGTCTTCGTCTTCGTATAGCTCCCATATAACGGTACCTCCCGATTTTCGGTATTTTGATGATTTTAGCGACATTATTCACCGGAATTGTTTCAAATTTCGTATTTGAAAATCTTAATGGGTACTACAACCTATGACAAAAAATTACGTATGCAGGTCCACGTCTTCGCATAGCCTCCATATAACAGTACCTCCCCATATTCGGTGTTTTAATGATTTTGGTGACATTATTCACCGGAATTGTTTCAAATTTCGTATTGGAAGATCTTAATAGGTACGACACCCTATGCCTAAAAATTTCGTATGCAGATCCACGTCTTCGCATAGCCTCCATATAAAGGTACCTCCCCATATTCGGTATTTTAATGATTTTAGCGACATTATTCACCGGAATTGTTTCAAATTTCGTATTTGAAAATCTTAATGGGGGCTACAACCTATGACAAAAAATTACGTATGCCGGTCCGCGATTTCGTAAAGCTCCCACATAACAATACCTTCCGATATTCGGTATTTTAATGATTTTAGCGACATAATTCTCCAGAATTGCTTCAATTTTCGTATTGGAAGATCTTAATAGGTACGACAGCCTATGCCTAAAAATTTCGTATGCAGGTCCGCGTTTTCGACCTTATAACGATACCTTCCGATATTCGGTATTTTGACGATTTTAGCCACATTATTCACCCAAATCGTTTTAAATTTTGTATTTGGAGTTCGGAATTGATACAACGGGCTATGGCAAAAAATTAACTATGCAGGTCCATGTAATCGTATAAATCGACAGATTTTTTTTTTTTAAAATTGTCAAGTTTTTTTTCCAAATGGTGGTGGGTATTAAAAGTTCTGTCCAGGCGAACATAGCTACTATTTTACTTGTTGTAAATAGCCTTTCTACATAATTAGAAAACAAAATGACAACATTTTGGCGGAATTAAATGGAAACATAGCCCACTGTTAAAAAAAATCCTTGAAATCCGAATTATCCTCAAAGAGAGACTATTTAAAAAAGTAGACTGATCTGACCCATTTTCTGTACCAATGATTATGGGTGTAATCCAAAAATCTCTATCAAATTTCAAAGCTCTATCCTAAATATTGAAAAAAATATAAGTGAAAATATAAGGACACCATTACATGTGGTCAAGGTTATTTGATCGAATTTTGGCACACCATGGAAATAGAGGTATCGTTTCTTTGGTCACTTATAGTAGAATTTGATGACGAATATTTTTGTCTTTGACGTCATCCTTCTACGATGATATTTTGTTGGAGATTTTTGCACAAATTCACACAAATTACGGTTTTAACCCTAAAATGTGTTTTTAGTATACATATATGGATTCCTGACGTTTGGGTAAGATTTAGACACTTGATGTCTTCTACGACCTAGAGTAGAATTTTATGCCAAATAATTTTGTGGAATATTGTGACCTCCTACGATCTCGTTTAAAGGGAGTTTCTAACCATATTTTAAATAAAGGCCCAAAAAGACCCCTTTGTTGGCTCGCTTGGGGGTTAAAAGTTTTAGCCTAAATATTGCTCGTATTTTTATCTTCAATATTGCCGAAGACGCTATCTGTCTAAAATGCACGGATTTCGAGAAATTTTAATTCGAAAGTTTGGTAGAGAGGTGAACTTATCTCCTCTTTTTAGGTTATTTGCGATGTAAACTTTCCGTGACTTCTTTTTTTTGGCTGTACTTTAATAATCTGCCGGATTTTCCCCGGAATTATTTTTTGTGTAGCACAGTGTATTATTTCCGAACCAAAAATATTTTTAAAAATTTTAAATCAAGTCTTTTAAACCCCCATGAATCTCGATTTTACTAATTATCCTCTCATTAATTCTCCCTCTCTCTCTCCCGCTCTCTCTCTCTTGCAGTTCACAACAGTTTTACACCCTCCTCACCATCAGCGACATTTTTCAACACACCCGCCACCCTGCTGTTCACCACCTACCACGACATACAAGTGGCGAACATAACAAAACCCACCGGTGCACCACAGGTCGATGTCCTGGTCAAGGATCTGACCGAAACAATGGCCATAGATTTCTTCTATGCCAAGAATTTGGTCTGCTGGACTGACTGTGGCCGCGAAACGATTGAATGTGTCAACACAAATACCACGGGTCCCATCCTCAAGGCACCCAAACAAACTGTGATATCAACGGGATTGGATAAACCCGAAGGCTTGGCCATCGATTGGTTTACGGATAAAATCTATTGGACCGATGGCGAAAAGAATCGCATCGAGGTGGCAACACTGAATGGCAAATATCAAAAGGTTTTATTTTGGACAGATTTGGATCAGCCAAGGGCCATTGCATTGGTGCCGAGCAAGAAATTTCTCATATGGACGGATTGGGGTGAATATCCCAAAATTGAAAGGGCCAGCATGGATGGTGATCCCACATCGCGCATGACCTTGGTCAAGGACAACATTTTCTGGCCAAATGGCTTAACTGTGGATTTGAAAAATGATTTGATCTATTGGGCCGATGGTCATCTGAAGTTCATTGATGTCATGAAACTGGATGGCAGTAACCGGCGGACCGTGGTCAACAATCTCAAGTACCCCTACAGCTTGACCTTCTTCGATAATAGGTTATATTGGACAGACTGGTCACAGGGATCGCTGAATGTCTACGATTTGATTTCATGGGAGATGAAGGAGTTGATTGACACCCCTGAAGCCCCCAATTCAGTGCGTACCTGGCATCCCTCGCTGCAGCCCTATGAAGACAACCCTTGTGCCCACAACAATGGAAACTGTAGCCATTTGTGCCTGCTGAGCACCAATGCCCAGGGTTACAGCTGTGCCTGTCCGACGGGTGTAAAACTGATTTCACCCAACACCTGTGCCAATGGTTCCCAGGAAATGTTGTTCATTGTCCAGAGGGGTCAGATATCGAAAATCTCCCTGGACTCACCGGATTTCACCATTTTCCCACTGCCACTGGGCAAGGTGAAGTATGCCATAGCCATAGACTATGATCCGGTGGATGAGTATATCTATTGGTCCGATGTGGAGGCATATACCATAAAACGGGCCCACCCCGATGGCACGGGTATATCGGATTTTGTGACCTCTGAGGTAAGGCATGCCGATGGCTTGGCCGTGGACTGGCTGGCGAGAAATCTCTACTGGACCGACACCGTAACCGATCGCATTGAGGTGTGTCGCCTGGATGGCTCGGCCCGCAAGGTATTGATCTATGAGTACCTTGAAGAGCCACGGGCCATTGCTTTGGCTCCCACACTCGGCTGGATGTTTTGGAGTGATTGGAACGAGAAAAAACCCAAGGTGGAGAGGGCCTCTCTGGATGGTTCGGAGAGGGTGGTTTTGGTTTCCGATAACTTGGTCTGGCCCAATGGCATTGCTCTGGACATTGAGGCCAAAACGATTTATTGGTGTGATGGCAAGACGGATAAAATCGAGGTGGCCAATATGGATGGTTCCGATCGGCGTGTGGTAATCAGCGATAATCTGAAACACTTATTTGGCCTCAGTCTTCTCGATGACTATTTGTATTGGACCGATTGGCAGAGGCGTTCCATTGACAGGGCCCACAAAATTACCGGCAACAATCGCATTGTGGTGGTGGATCAATACCCAGATCTTATGGGTCTCAAGGTGACCCGACTGCGAGAGGTGAAGGGCACAAATGCCTGTGCCGTGCGGAATGGTGGCTGTTCCCATCTCTGTCTGAATCGTCCCAGTGACTATGTCTGCCGCTGCTCCATAGAATATGAACTGGCCAATGACAAGAAGACCTGTGTCATTCCGGAGGCCTATTTGCTATTCTCCAAGCAGGAATACATTGGACGCATCTCCATTGAAAATAATGAGGGCAATCACAACGATGAGAAGATACCCTTCAAGGATGTACGCTATGCCCACTCGTTGGATGTGGATGTGGCCGATAAGAGAATATATTGGACGGATCAAAAATCGAAATGTATCTATAGAGCCTTCCTCAACGGTTCCTATGTCCAGAGAATAGTGGATGCGGGGATCATACGACCCGAGGGGATTGCAGTGGATTGGTTGGCCCACAACATTTTCTGGACCGATTCTGAGGCCCGGCGTATTGAGGTGGCCCGCCTAGATGGCAGCAGTCGAAGAGTACTACTTTGGAAGGGCGTAGAGGAACCCCGATCCCTGGTATTGGAACCCCGCAAAGGTTATATGTATTGGACAGAGTCACCCTCAGATTCCATACGGCGGGCAGCAATGGATGGTTCGGAGTTGCAGACGATTATTTCAGGGGCCAATCATGCAACCGGCTTGACCTTAGACTCTGAAACCCGACGTCTCTACTGGGCCACCCAGTCGAGGCCGACAAAAATTGAATCCGCCGATTGGGATGGTAAAAAACGTCAAGTCCTTGTAAGCACCGATATTGATGAACCCTATGCTGTATCCCTCTACCAGGACTATGTTTACTGGAGTGATTGGAACACCGGAGACATTGAAAGGGTCCATAAAATCACGGGCCAAAATCGTAGCCTTATACATAGTGGCATGACCTACATCTCATCCTTGGTGGTGTTCTATGGCCAACGACAAGCTGGGACAAATCCCTGCATGTACAACAATGGTGGTTGCTCCCATCTGTGTTTGCCACTGCCCGGACGACGTGGCATGACATGTGCCTGTCCCACTCACTACACCCTGGCCAAGGATGAGGCCTCCTGTATACCACCGAAAAATTATATTATTTTCAGTCAAAGGAATAGTTTCGGAAGACTTATGCCCAATACCACGGATTGCCCCAATGTGCCACTGCCTGTGATAGGGAAGAATATACGGGCCGTGGAATATGATCCCATAACACATTTTGTTTATTGGGTGAGTAAAAAATTACATTTCAGAGAGAATGTGAGAAAATCTAATTTTGCTATTTTCTTTTCAGGTGGAAGGTCGTAGCCACAGTATCAAGAGAGCCCTGGTGAATGGCACTCGAGCCTCGGTCTTGGTGGGTTCAGGATCTCAGCCATTCGACATAGCCATTGATGTTATTGGCCGTTTGCTATTCTGGACTTGTTCGCATTCGAATAGTATTAATGTTACCAGGTGGGTAAAAGAGAACGGAATTGGGACAGTTTGTCCTGTTATACCCCATTTTAGCGGGTTGGTGGGAATGGGAAAAAGGTTCTGCATAATGGGAAAAAGGTTCTGCATAATGGGAAAAAGGTTCTGCATAATGGGAAAAGGTTCTGCATAACATTTGACTATGGGTCTCCAAACAAAAGAATTCTGTATATTTAACCTATATATTACAAAATGTCGGTTATAACAGAACGATATAAAGAGGAATGAATTCCATGAGTAAATTGCTACGTTTTTGACTCAGGCCAAATATCTGTCCTTTTGCTTATTTTTAGCTGGTTGGGTCCAATGCAAAAAATGTTTGGCATCAAATTTCACCTAGGGTCCCCAAACAAAGGAAATGGGTATAACTTGCCCTAATCTAAGAAATTTCGGTCCAAAATTGGAGTTTTTAATAAGAAATTATATTAAAGAGTAATTTTGTATCTTAATTGCTTTTGGTCCATTTTTTGCCCTTCGAACTCATTTTAGGCGATGGGTCCAAATGAGGAAAGTGTTCCGCATCAAATTTCACTAAGGGTCCCCAAATAAAATAAATCGGTATATCTTGATCTTATCTATGAAATGTCGGCTCTAACTTGGGTAAATAAATAAGGAATAAATTTTATGAGTAATTTCCTATGTTTTCCACTTTGGACCAATTACGGCCATTTTCCTTTGTTTTAGCCAAATGGTTCCAATGAAAAAAGTGTTCGGCATCAAATTCGAGTAGGGGTCTCCGAAGAAAAGAAATCGATATATCTGGTCTATATCAAAGAACTTTCGATACAAAGTTGGGTTTTTTAACAATAAATTATATTAAAGTTTATTTTGTGTGTTTTCCGCTTTGGCCCAATTTCTGCCATCTAACTTTAGTATAGACGATGGGTGTCAATTGGAGAAATATTCTGCTTCGAATTTCACTAAGGGTCCCCAAACAAAGGAAATGTGTATATCTAGGTCATTTCGAAGAAATATCGGTTTAAAGTTAAGTAATTAAAAAAAAAATAATTTTAAAGATTAATTTTGTGTGTTTTCCGCATTGGTCCAATTTTTGCCGTTTGACTTCATTATAGGCGATGAGTCTCAATGGGAAAAATGTCCTGCTTCAAATTCCACTAAGGGTCCCCAAACAAAGGAAATGTGTATATCTAGGTCATATCGGTTCAAAGTTCAGTAATTTAAAAATAAATCATTTTTAAAAGTAATTTTGTATGTTTTCTTTTTCAGTCCATTTTTTACCCTTCGACGTGATTTTAGGCGATGAGTCCAAATAGGAAAAATATTCTGCATCAAATTTCACTAAGGGTCCCAAAACAAAAGAAATCCGTATATCTTATCCATATCAATAAATTGTGGGTTCTAACATGGGTACATAATTAAGAACCTAACTTCAAGAGTAAATTCATAGGATTTTGACTGAGGATCCATATTGGAAGTTTTGCTTTATTTTAGCCAGGTGGTTACAATGGGAAAAAGATTCTGCATTAAATTTTACTATGGGTCCTCAAACAAAAGCAATGAGTACATCTAGTCCATATCAATGAAATTTCGCTCCAAAGTAGGGTATTTTAACAAGAAATTATATTAACGAGCCATTTTGATTGGTTTCTACATTGGTCCAATTTTTGCTCTTTTGACATTACTTTAGACAATGGATCTCAAGGGGAATAATGCTCTGCATCAAGTTAGACTAAGGTTCCTCAAGAAAAAAATTATATCGATATATCTTACCCATGTCACAGAAATTTGGGATCAAATTTGGTAAAATATAGATCCATCGCAATTGTGTGTTCCAATTTTACACCCATTTGAGGTGTTAAAATTCATTTTGCGATTTTGCTGCCAATGAAAAAAATGCTCCTCAGAGAATTTCATTATGGGTCTATGAACAAAAGGAATCTGCATTTCTATTAAATATCGGTTGAAAAGCCATGCAATTTGTTAACATAAACAAGATATCACGGTAGTTCGAAATTTTTACATTTTCGGTCTAGGGCCAATTTGGGCCTTTAAATTTCATTTAAGTGGGAGGGCTCCAAAGGAAAAAATATTGTCCAGGGAATTTCACTATAGGTTCCCAAACAAAGAAAATCGATGTTTACAAAAAATATGGGTAAAAAATCCCAATCCAATTTGAATGTGTAAACACAGAATCTTATTGTGAATAATACCGAACTCTTTCAAACAGGCTTCGGTTTGACCCGCTATATTTCATTTTGGAGTATTGGGTGGAATGGAAAAAATGCTCTCCATCAAATTTCACTATAAGTCACCGAAGAAAAGAAACAACTAGAAATTATATAACATAGGAGATCCACTTCTAAATTACACAAATTTTGGGGAAAGTTTTTTTTAATTCTTCTTTTTCTATTTTCCAGCTTTACTGGTGATGCCATCGGCGTCATTGACACGGGAGACTCGGAAAAGCCACGTAATATTGCTGTACATTCCATGAAACGTTTGCTGTTCTGGACAGATGTGGGCAGTAAACAGGCCATTATAAGATCTCGTGTTGATGGAGCTGAACGAGTGGTTTTGGCTTTCAAACTGGAAGGTGTCACAGCTTTGGCAGTGGACCAACAAACCGACATGATCTACTATGCTCACGGCAAGCGCATTGATACCATGGACATAAATGGAAAGAATAAGTAAGTATGGTGAATTCTTATCCGAACCCCAATTTTATTGAATATTTGTCTCTGTTTTTCCAGGAAAATTTTGGTATCCACCCACATTAGTCAGGTGATTTCCATTGCTGCCCTGCAGGGCTTTGTCTATTGGCTCGACGATAAGACCGGAGTGGAGCGGATAACCATTAACGGAGATGGCCGTAGAGCGGAAATGCAACGTATGCCCCAAATCACGGATATTGTGGCTGTTTGGACTCCCGAATCGAAATTGTTTAGAAATCACACCTGCCTGCATGCCCGCACCAAATGCTCACACATTTGTATAGCCTCATCCGAGGGACGGGGACGAGAAATGTGCTCATGTCCCAAGAACTTAATGCTATTGGAAGATGATCAAAGTTGTGGTGCCTTGCCGGCATGTGGCCCAGATCACTTTACCTGTGCCGCACCTGTGTCAGGTGGCAGTGGAGCCAATACAGATATGAACAAGGATTGTATACCGGCCTCGTGGCGTTGTGATGGACAAAATGATTGTCCTGATAAATCAGATGAAGTGGGATGTCCCTCATGTCGTCCAGATCAGTTTAGCTGCCAGTCGGGAGAATGCATTGACAAGGCCTTGGTTTGTGATGGCACAACCAATTGTGCCAATGGTCATGATGAGGCGGATTGCTGCAAAAGACCCGGAGAGTTTCAGTGCCCCACCAACAAGGTAAGGGAATGGAGCATTTTTTAGAGAAGAGAAGTTAATGTTTATTTTTTCTTTTAGATTTGTATTTCGGCCGCTTTGTTGTGCAATGGCTGGGAAGAGTGTGCCGATGGCGCCGATGAATCTGCCGACATTTGTTCCCAGGCCAATACCAGACGCATGGCTCCCTCGTCGGATAAGAAAGCCTTTATGATCCTCATTGTGGCCACCATGATAACGATATTCTCCATCGTTTATCTTTTGCAATTTTGTCGCACACGAATTGGTAAGACACGCAATGAGCCCAAGGATGATCAGGCATCAGATCCACTTTCACCCTCAACGTTAAGTAAGTCTCAGAGGGTTTCAAAAATTGCCTCCGTGGCCGATGCGGTACGCATGTCCACCTTAAATTCCCGCACCAGTATGAATTCTTATGATCGCAATCATATTACCGGGGCCTCAAGCTCCACTACAAATGGTAGCAGCATGGTGGCTTATCCCATCAATCCGCCGCCATCACCGGCCACCCGTTCACGTAGGCCATATCGCCATTATAAAATCATAAATCAACCACCACCACCCACACCCTGTTCCACAGATATCTGTGATGAATCGGACTCAAATTACACCAGTAAATCGAATAGTAATAACAGTAATGGTAACACCAAACTGTCCTCATCCTCGGCAAATGCCAATTCTTGTCAGTATGGTTACGATAGTGAACCATACCCACCGCCACCCACACCACGTTCCCACTATCACAGCGATGTACGGATATTACCCGAATCATCGTGTCCACCCTCGCCCAGTTCACGTTCCTCGACGTATTTCTCACCCCTGCCACCACCACCCTCACCGGTACAGTCTCCGAGTAGGGGTTTCACGTAACATTTCGAAATTTTTATGTAATTTCCTTCCTTTTTACTTTCGAGTTTTATTTTTCCAATTTTTTTGGTTATAAACAAAACAAATTATTAATAACTAACTATGCTTCCGAAATGTTCTTTTTTATATAAGATATATATTTTTTTGTATATAATCCCCTTGGAATATTAATAATATTATAAATTGTAAGGCATCAAAATACACTTTTTTACACACGATAATGACAAGTATTAGTTATGAACATAAGTTGTAAATAAGTTAAGCAAGAATAATTGTATAAACAAGAGAAAAAAAAACGCAAAAATGCAATAGGAAAAAAAGAAGGAAACAGAGACTCTCTCTCACTCTTGAAAACATATCCCATTGTAAGCATTCGGACTAAGTCTCCCCTCCCTTTAAAACAATAGCTAATTAAAATATATTCTTAAAATAATACTTAAAATATATAAAAAAAATGATTTTAAAGTAAATCAAATTATGTGAAGTGGAAATTGGAAAGGACAAGGACTCTGTCGTTTCGTGTAGAACTAAAAGGAGCCCTTGAATGCAAGATTTTTGTGGTTTATAATTCATTAATATCATAAAAACCCGAAGGAAAAACGATGTTCAAATAGATGACCATTAGACCCATTAAACTTCATATTAGCATTTTGCTGTCAATGGAAAAGATATTCTTCAGGAAATTTTACTATGGGTCCCTAAACAAAAGGTATCTGTATTTCTTAAAAATATTAGTTTAAAATGCTATGACAATTTATTAACATAAAAACGATATCACGATAATAGGAAAATTTTGCCTTTTCCGATTTAGGGCCAATTTCGGACCTTAAAATTCGTTTTAGCGGGTGGGTCCCAAAGAAAAAAATATTATCCAGGAAATTTCACTATGGGTTGCCAAAGAAAAGAAATCGGTGGTTATGAAAACTATAGATAAAAATATCCCAAATCATTTTGAATGTTGCCAATTATAGTTAAAAAATTAAATTCATTAGAATCCCTATAGCGTGTTCGAATAGATGCCCATAGGACCCGTTAAACTTAATTTTAGCATTTTGCTGTCAATGAAATTGTTCATTGGGGAATTTTACTATGGGTCCCTGAGCAATTGGAATCTGTATTCCTAATAAATATCGCTGAAAATGCTATAACAATTGAGAAGTATAAACAAGATATTAGTATAATGCGTTATTTTTCAACTTTTTCGAATTGGGGCCAGTTTTTGGCTTTAAATTTCGTTTAAGCAGTTGAGTCCCAAAGAGAAAAATACTCTTCAGGGAATTTCACTATGGGATGCTAAATAAAAGAAATCGGTGTTAACAAAAAATATAGGTAAAAAAACTCCAATTCAATTTGACTGTTGGTATAAACATTAAATATAGGAGTATCTCTATTGTTTGTTCTATTAAACGCCAATTTGACCCATTACACTTCACATTAGCAATTTTCTTCCAATGAAAAAAATATTCTCCAGGGAATTTTACTATGGGTCCCTGAACAGAAGCAACCTGTATTTCTCATTAACATCGCTTGAAAATGCTATAACAATTGAGAAATATAAACAAGATAAAGCGTTATTTTCCACTTTTTCGAATTGGGGCCAATTTTGGACTTTAAATTTCATTTGAGCGGGTGGGCCCCAAAGGAAAAATTATTCCCCAAGAAATTTCACTATGGGTTCCCAAACAAAAGAAATCGATGCTAACAAAAAATATAGGTAAAAAAAATCCCTATTCAATTTGAATGTATAAACAATGAACAATTGCATAAAAACTACCATACTCTTTCAAACAAGCTTCGGTTTCTCCCGTAATACCTCAAATTATAGAATTGGTTGGAATGAAACAAAGGTTCTCCATCAAATTTCACTCATGGACATGGTAGGAATCACAATAAATAGCCGGTTGAAAATTCTAGATCAATTGAGAAGTATAAACAAGATACCAGTGTAATGGATTTTTTCCTATTTTTTCGATTTAGGGCCTATTTTAGGCTTTAAATTTCATTTGGGCGGTTGGGGTCCAAAGGGAAAATTATTCTTCAGCGAATTTCACTATGGGTTCCCAAATAAAAGAAATCGATGTTAAGAAAAAATCTAGGTTAAAAAATTCCAATCCAATTTGAATGTATGAACAATGAATAATTTCATGAATAATGCCATTCTCTTTCGAACAAGCCTAGGTTTCTCCCTTAATACCTCAATTTAGAGGGTTGGTTGGAATGGAAAAAATGTTCTCCATCAAATTTTACTCTTGGACACGGAAATAAAGAAATCGCTATACATTTTTATAGCTACTTTATGGTCCTAAATCTTGAAGTCTTTAAATAAATTTTAAGTCCCATTTACAACCACCCGAGTCTTGTGTTTCTAAAAGAATTTTTGATTCTCAATTAAGACCAAAATTAATTTTAAGACTTCTTTAGGACTCTGAATAACCACAAACTTATTTCGTTGGAACAATTTCATGGGTTTTCTCAAGGCTGCTTTTAAGGCCGAAATATCTTTTTCAATGGCTTCCTCTTTTTCACTTTCACAAACATTTAGATTTATGTTTAAAATATTGAAAAACTCATAATCAAATATCACATTAAAAAAACAAATTATATTAAAAAACATTTAAAAAAAAGTTCAAATTTAAATATTGTGCCAAATTTAAATAAAAACACAAAAAAATAATGAAATTAATATTCTAAAAATAAAAGAAACAAAATATTTATACATTCGATAAACTGACAAAATTCTTTTGCTTAATTCGAAGACATAATACGTTTCTTCTTTTTCACTTTTGTGTATATATATAATTTTTAGATTTACCATAAAAAAAAAAACATTTGCCATTTTCCGCCCCACCTATGTTCAGCTAGTTTTTTTAATATTGTCTTCTTAAAGAAATGTTTACTCTCCTGTGTGTCATTCGTTTTTTAATTTTTATTATTTTTATTAATATTTCATATTAATATGTATTAATTAGTTTAATTATAGCCTGTAATTATAACCTGCAACACTATTTTCTTATATTTTTTTAGTTGTTAAAGAACAAAAGCAACAACGTAAAGTAAACATATAAACGCCAAAAAGTGCCTCAATTAATTAATGTGTTAATAATTATTATTATCATTATGATTACCAAGCATTATATTTTTTGTATATTTGTTTTAATTTTTTTCCTAACCTGACCTCACCATCCACCACACACCTACTTAGACCCCCAAATAAATTAGTTTATTTTAAATAAAATAAATACTTCTAATTTTAATTAAATACAAATAGAAAAACCGTGTAATAACAATCAACCATATACAAAAACAACAAAAACAACAAAACGAAATAAAACAAGTTACAACAATAAAAAAACAACAAACAAAAAACTAAACAATATTTGTATGTTATACATTTTAAGTGTTTTTCCTGATTAGTTAATGTTAGTGCAAATATAATTTTTACATACTGAAATGAATGAATGAAAATAATTAATAATAATAATAACAACAACAAAAAACAGAACAACAAAAGAATTAAAATAAAATTGTATTTAAAAAAAATTGTCATTTGTTTTTTATTTCCTATTGAAAATGGGAAGTTGGAATTTTTGAGAACCAAGCCCAAGGATTTTTAGAGCATTTCTTGTGAATAGTTTCAGGGCTCCTCATTTGGCCTGAATAGGCGATTTTACAAGAGAATATTTAAAGAAATTTTAAAGCAGAGTCTAGTACTCAATTTTTTTGTTATTTATTTATTTTATTTATTTATATATTTTTTTTTTTTTGAGAATGAATTTTCCTTTGGGCCTTACATCCCCTTTCATTCAGCTTTTTTTGTTAAAATCTTCCAGAGTAGTTTTCGTCGCACAAGTGTGGTCTAACCGAGTTCTCGACTTGTGCGACGAAAACTACTCTGGAAGATTTTTTGTCCTTCCTTTTTTGTCCTTTCATCCGCTGTCCAATTATCTGAAATTTTGTAATGACCTAGAAACCAACAGAACTTGATGGTTGACCTTGCTTTTACGAAGGCTTCTCTTCACTTCAAAACTGCCATAGATTTAATGATAAATTTAGAGCCTTCAGTGCGGTTTTACCGAACCGACACCTTTACTATTTGGCAATAGATCTATAAATTTTTTATTTGCAAAGATCTCTGCCTGGCATTCTCTAAGTTTGTAGGATTAGCTTATGTTGAGGACACCGCAGAAGACCCCAGCACATATTTTCACATTCCATCGTAGAACCGTCAGCCACCGCAATCAGATGGCGGGTCCTGACGGGTAACTGTCAAGTATGTTGATGTAAAGTGGTTCGAAATTCAACCCTTGTGATATGTAGTCACTGGTTTTGACTTCACCTCCTATGCATTCCACAGATAACCCTTAATTGATGATTTTTAAAAAAGGAAGAGATCTTAAGGAATCCTTTGAGACCCTTATTTTTGATTTTTATCTGAAGAGGTTTTAAAATTCCTTTGGGATTCTTAATCATGGATTTGGAAAAATAGGTATTTCGAGAGGTTTTCCTTTGAATATGATTTATGGTTCCGATGAAACTTTTATTCGTCCATTTTTAAAAGGATTCTCGGAAATGTGTTCACATTTTATTTTAACCCTTAATTGGGGATTTTTGAAAGAATTTTTCAGAATAAATTCTTCGCATTCCAAAGGGACTCCTAAATCAAGGATTTGTGAAAAATAATTTTCTAAAGAGGTTTTAAGGATACCTTTGAGCCCCTTTATTGGGGTTTTTTAACAAAATTATCTTAGGAGGTTTTAGAGTTGCTTTGGATTCTAAATAAGGGATTTGGAGAATAAGGTTTCTCGAGAGGTTTTCCTTTGGATAAGCTTTAAGGTTCCTATGGAACTTTTAATCGGCCATTTTTAAAAGGATTCTCGGAAATGGGTTCACAGTTTATTAGGACCCTTACTTGGGGATTTTTAGAAAATAAATTCTTCGCCTATTATACATTTCACAGGGACTCCTTAATCGAGAATTTTTAAAAAGAATTTTCCAAAGAGGTTTTAAGGATTCCTTTGAGAGCCTTTATTTGTGATTTTTAAAAATTTATCTGAAGAGGTTTTAGAGTTCCTTTGGGATACTTAGTCATAGATGTGGCAAAAATTGTTGTTTTCCTTTGAATATGCTTTAAGTTTCCGAACTGTTAATCATCAATTTTCAAAAGGATTTTCGGAAATAGGCTCACAGTTTATTAGGACTCTCAATCCTACATTGACCACCTGGTGGGGTGGGGTATAAAAATAATAGGACCCTTTAAGAACCAAATTGGTTGAGACTTATAATTACGTCATGTTGAAAATATTAAGCCCCATATAATTCTGTAAAGGATTGTTAGCCTCATTTAAGTCTCAAAGGCCAGGATTTGATGGGAGTAGACAAGTCACTGATATTCCTTAAGTAATGCCCCAAATGCTACACTTTTCTGAAGAAAATTTGAAGACAATTTAGTTCTAACCTTTGGAATAAATGTATTTCTGTTTCCCCCCACCTCCTGTGTCATTCAAATAGAAATTTGTGCTAATGCAAATATCAAACAAATTTTGAAAGCTTAAAATATCTACTCAATTTTCAATTATTCCAGTGCTAATTAAAATAAAATCTGTTCATATTCAGCATCCATTAGCAGCGTTTGAAATTTAATACCCCTGTGACATTGTCGGACGTCGTTTAACCGCCGTTTGTCCGCTAATTTAACTACAAACAACACGGAAAAGATTTGACGAAATAGCTACAACAAATTTGATATCATTATGGCAACAACAACACAATAAAAAAGAGAATCATGATATACAATTTAATGATTTTACACCTCGCCGTCATAAACCATATCACGACTGGGGCAATAGATTTGTTTTCTCACATCATTATCATCATCATCTTCAAGACGATGAAAAGCTTGCTCTCTTTTGAATAATAGTGGATCAGTCAGTATTGAATTAAGCAGCCAGATAGATACATCGGAACGAAAGTACGAAAGAAAAAAACTAAAGATGACAGATCTGGAATTGCAAGGAGGTTTACTGGGCCAAGACCAAAACCAAAAATCAAAAACAGATTCCTCCAAGGCCAAAGAAACCTGGGGCAATGACATTGAATTTCTATTCTCCTGCATTTCTCTTTCCGTGGGCTTGGGCAATATATGGCGTTTCCCCTACATTGCCTTTCAAAATGGTGGCGGTACATTTGTTATACCCTATCTAATTGTTTTGCTGATAATTGGACGTCCCGTGTATTATTTGGAAATATTGCTGGGACAATTTTGTGGCAAGGGATGTATCAAGGCCTTCGATATGGCACCGGTAATGAAGGGTAAGACTGAAAAGACATTTAAAGTTTATTTTTTTATAAAAAAAAATCTGTGTTTCACACCTCACCTCAGGTGTTGCTGCTGGCCAGGTATTGGCAACTACCGCCTCCATAACATATTACTCCAGCATTATGGCCCTGACTTTGAGATATTTGATTGCCTCCTTTTCCAGTGTGCTGCCATGGAGCACATGTAAACCAGAATGGGGTCCACAATGTTTGGAATATACTCAGCAGGGAGAAAACAATACAAGTAACTTAAATTCTAGCGGCACAATGTCACCAGCGGAATTGTATTTCGAGTAAGTTCCGGATCCAAAATTTGAGGTTAGAAAAAAATATTCAAAACTTTTATTTTTTTTTTATAGAAAAGAAATTCTCCATGAATATGAGAACATCAACGAGGGCATTGGTCTACCCAATTGGCAATTGGTTGGCTGTTTGGCAGCTTCATGGCTGATTATTGGTGGAGTGCTCATAAGAGGTATGGGACATAACCTCAAAAAAAAAAGAATATTTTTTTGATAAATTTTTAAAAAATCTTGTCCATAGGTGTTAAAAGTTCTGGAAAAGCTGCCTATTTCCTGGGCGTCTTCCCCTATGTGGTGCTTATTGTTTTGCTCATTAGGGCTGTAACCTTGCCAGGAGCATTGGAGGGGATAATTTACTTTTTTAAACCTCACTGGGAGGAATTACTCAACCCCCTGGTATGTACCGTAGGACCTATAGAATCTTTTTCTATAGAAAAACTTGGACGACGATTTTTTTCTATGGAAAAAATTTGGACCTGGGGTCCGGCGACGAATTTTTTCTACGAAAAAAACTTGTACCTGGGGTCCGGAGGCGAATTTTTTTCTATAGAAAAAACTTGGACCCTAAGTTTCTGAGACGATTTTTTTTGGGAAAAAACTTGAACCCGAGGTCATGCAATGAATTTTTTTGAATAGAAAAAACTTGGACCTGGGGTCCGGAGACGAATTTTTTTCTATAGAAAGAACTTGGACCTGGGGTCCGGCGACGAATTTTTTTCTATAGAAAAAACTTGGACCTGGGGTCCGGCGACGAATTTTTTATCTATAGAAAAAACTTGGACCTGGGGTCCGGCGACGAATTTTTTATCTATAGAAAAAACTTGGACCTGGGGTCCGGCGACGAATTTTTTTCTATAGAAAAAACTTGGACCTGGGGTCCGGCGACGAATTTTTTTCTATAGAAAAAACCTGGACCTGGGGTCCGGCGACGAATTTTTTTCTATAGAAAAAACTTGGACCTGGGGTCCGGCGACGAATTTTTTTCTATAGAAAAAACTTGGACCTGGGGTCCGGCGACGAATTTTTTTCTATAGAAAAAACTTGGACCTGGGGTACGGCGACGAATTTTTTTCTATAGAAAAAACTTGGACCTGGGGTCCGGCGACGAATTTTTTTCTATAGAAAAAACTTGGACCTGGGGTCCGGCGACGAATTTTTTTCTATAGAAAAAACTTGGACCTGGGGTCCGGCGACGAATTTTTTTCTATAGAAAAAACTTGGACCTGGGGTCCGGCGACGAATTTTTTTCTATAGAAAAAACTTGGACCTGGGGTCCGGCGACGAATTTTTTTCTATAGAAAAAACTTGGACCTGGGGTCCGGCGACGAATTTTTTTCTATAGAAAAAACTTGGACCTGGGGTCCAATGACGAAAAAAATTGGACTTGGGTCCGGTGACGAATTTTTTTCTAGAGAAAAAAATTATACCTGGTGTCCGGTGACGAATTTTTTTCTAGAGAAAAAAATTGGACCTGGGGTCCGGAGACGAATTTTTTTCTATAGAAAGAAATTGAATTTGGAGTCCTGAGACGAGTTTTTTAAATTCCCCCATTTTTTTCAGGTCTGGTACGCTGCAGTAACTCAGGTATTTTTCAGTTTGGCCATATGTTTTGGAACCCTCATAACCTATGCATCCTACAACAATTTCTCGAGGAATGTGTACAAGTAAGAATTTATGCTCCTTTCCCCAATATACCCCCACTTAATATCCGGTATTCAATTCCAGCGATATTTTGATCATTACCACCATGGATTCATGCTCCTCCATTATAGCTGGCTGTATTACCTTTGGAATATTGGGCAATTTGGCCTATCAAACCGGCAACACAGACATTGCTAGTGTAGTTAAAGGTGGTGCCGGCTTGGCATTTATATCATATCCCGATGCAATTGCCAAATTCGATTTTATACCACAGGTAAGCTATCAAGGCTTCTGGAGCCTCGCAATGATGCTTTAAAACAAAACTACCTAAAAGGCATTCGCGGTTCTTTTCTTCTTAATGTTATTTGTCTTAGGCATTGGAAGTACGGTGGGCATGGGCAGCTGTATAATACGGGTGGTGCGTGATCAATTCGGCCACATTGCAAATTGGCCCTTGGCGTTGGGTTTGTCGGTGCTGGGTTTTACCATTAGCATTGTGTATATGTGTCCGGGTGGCCAGTTTATATTGAATTTGGTGGACTTTTATGGTGTCTCGTTTACGGCATTGATTTTGGCCATTGGTGAGCTGTTGGCTTTGGGATGGGTTTATGGTGAGCTGGAAATTCTGGAATATCAAAATATAAATCAAATCTATTCACATTTTTCCAGGTGTTAAACGTTTCTGCGAGGACATTAAATTTATGGTGGGCATTAAAACTGGCCTCTATTGGCGTTTATGTTGGGGTCTCATTACACCGGGCCTCATGCTGTCGGTGCTTATCTATACCCTGCTTGATTTGCAACCTTTGACCTATAAAAACGTGGATTATCCCACAGTTGCCCATGGTGGGAAACAACATTTACTCCGTTTTTTTGAAAATTGTCAATTTAATTTACATTTTTTATTTAGTTTTTGGTTGGTGTCTGGCTGCCTTGGGCCTGCTACAACTTCCCGGCTGGGCTGTGTATGAATATTTCCAACAAAATCGGGATTTCAGTTTCAAAAAAGTAAGGTCTTAAAAAAATTTAAATAAATATTTTTTCAATGTTCCATTTTTATTGTTCTAGAAATTACGTAGCATTTTCAAACCATCTCTAGAATGGGGACCCCAGGATGCGAACACCAATGAAGAGTATCAGAACTATCGTAAAAACTTGCAGGCATCTAAATCAACGGCCTACAAAAGGATCTTTGGAAAAGCTTTTGAAAATTTATTTACTTGAAATAGTTTACTATTAAATACAAATAAGATAAAAGAAATAGTAGTTTTTCAGCATTTTCTTCAGGGTAACATGCCCTGCCGAGACTTCTGAAAATTAAAAAAAAAGCAATTACAATTAATTAAAAGATATAGCAATTTTAAGAACTCATTTGAATTGGTGTCTTTATTTTGCCTTCTGATTCGTTTTCTCTTAGAGAAATAGGGCCTTCGTATTCTTGGACTATCCTGGATCTATCAAAAAAATATACGGCTATAATTTCTCAATAAAAATTTTAAAAATCCTTCATTCTCAGGACTTTTTCTTCTCTGAAGTGAAAAATTAAAAGCCCTCAAGTTTGAAATGTACCCTCCAATTTATCGTTTTCGTGACATATTCCATATGCAAAAGAAATCCATATGTCTTATATCTACATATAAACAGTCTTTTTTATTGTTTTGTTGTTGGAAAGTAATCAAAAAATATAAATGATTTATCAATCAATTAGTTTAGCATCGCCAATCGATGTTTCAGCCAAATAAACACGCTTGGTTATCAGATAGTCACGCATCAATTTGAAAAAGGTAAATTGATTTGTTAATGTTATAAAACTTAGAGATAAAATGAAATGCCATTCAATGGCATAATATAATAATGTAATGCCCGACAAAACCAGGCAGGCCTGGATTACTGTTAAACTGCCATAAATCATGGAGGGATTATGGAAAAGTCTCTGCAAAGAAAAACATAAAAGGAAAATCAAAAACTAATTCATAAATTTGATTTATTTTACTCACATAAAACCTTTCGTGTGTAACATTGCCGGGTATGGCCACCGTGACCGGACCCATGCTGCGATATAGCTCTCCGTTGTGTTTTACCACCGTATTGGGACCCCAGAGACTTGTCTTCAACCAATTGGCAGCCGAGGCGCCCACAACACAATCTGCTCCCGGCCTTAAATCCAGCTTAAGCCAACAGCCCAAATGTAAGGCGGCACGATGCAATATATCACTATATTTCGAGGGAAAACTAAATACCGTACACATTGTAAAAACACTTAGAAATACCAAAACGATATGCTGTGATGCCCATAGGACATTGTAGTTAACATTGTGCGCAAAATAGCAGGGCAAATATGCCGCATAATATGTATTTTGCAGTGATGTGAATATGACTTGTTTGAAACGGCAATTGAAATCATTACGCAGGACATCGATTTCAACACGTATACAATTCGGATTGGCCGAGCAACAGTGCAAGGGGAAGCCATTGAAATAGGCTCCCTTGATTTCATAGCTGAAACGTAGGAATGGTTCCATCCATGTCCAGCCAAAGGCCAAGAAGTAAGCTATAAATCTGGAAAAAAAAACGGAATTTCGTTAGCTCCCAACAATTTTGAATGTATAAAACTTACGGATAAATCAGCAAAAATATTGTCATGTAATTACGATTATTGTACATGAGGACAATACAGGACACCGGTAAGGATATTATTAGTATTTCCAAAACGTGTTTGAATATCCGGTGCATGCGTTGCAAATTGGCCGGCAGCAACAAGTCCAGGCCCTTGAGACACAGGCAGTACAACAAACGCCTTATGTTCATGACGATTATCAGTAAAATAAGATAAGGATCGATGTGTGAGAGATTCTTTAGCCAAAGAAAAGAAACAAAGTAGTATTCGAAATATGCCTTTTAAAAAATATACTTACTACTGTATTGGTAATGGCCACCTTGGGTAGCCACCAATTTGTCCGATATATATTGATAAACTGCATTGAACTGACACAGGTAACAAAGAGAAACATTATGAGCTCATTTAACAGCTCTGAGGCGGAGGCTGGATCTGGGAATGGTATGTGTTTGGGCATATTGGGGGCTGGTATGTTATTTGCTGGCTGAGCTGCCGAAGCTTGGGCGTCATCGTCTTTGTTATTGTTCTCCCGCATTTTAGGCCCGTATTTGTTTCTTTAAAAAGAGGACAACACTTTTTTTGTTCCACGGATTTGAAAAATACTTTGGTTTAAGAGCGACTTGCTACGCAAAATTTCATGTCAAAATTTAACAGGATTTCCATTAGGTTATAGGCAAATCCCACTGAGATCATTGATGGATTTGGTGGAATCTAAAATGAGGAAAATATATGTTAAAAGCTCGAGATTCAAACACATAATATTTTATATAAACGTGTTTGAGTTGATGGCCTCTTGGAATATTTCGGATATACACATGGGCTCCATTCCATGGATTCTAGCTGGGTCTTACCACACACGCACTCACACACACTTCAAGGCTCTCCTTGTCGAGAGGTAAGGACTTTCGCAAGAGAATATGTAAATCATTTGAATCATGACCAATGACCATCTTTGGGAGAAAAAAAAATGCTCCATTGATTCGGCATCGTAGACCTTGTACGTTCCCATGGTATGGGATGTAACAGTCCTTGAGTTTAATCTAAGCCTGTGCTTAGTTACAGATTTCCAACGCCACGCATAGCCATGCTAGCTTGTTGGACTATCACACAAATTCTAAAATTGACAAAATTTACCCAAAAGGGACGAAAAGGAGGCTTCCCAAACACGTCAAATCAAAATAAAACTTAGGGATCAACAGGTTGAAAAGCGACATGTTTAGGGATCACTCGATTAAAAAAAAACAATCAGCTGGATATTTCTCTTGTATGATACGGCTATCAAATACCCGTTATACTTGTTTATTTTATTTTGTTTTCTGCGAGAAAAACTCTTTTTTCTAATTCTAAAAATAAAAAATTGTTCTTGTGGTGCCGTAAATTTGTCAATAAGACTTATCTATAAATAAAAAAAAACAAAAATTAATTATATTTCGTCCTTTTTATTTTGCGCAACACAAATTTAAAAGTATGAAAGTAAATCTTAATTTAGACATTTTAAATAGAATTCCAGGTTTTACCTTGAAACATTTTTTTCTGTAACACTAACTTATCAAAAAAAGTAAAATATCAAGACTTTCAATTCTTATTTCTAATCAAATTCCATGAGCTACCCTGAGCATGATCCTTAATTTCAATGCCGTGTTGCCGCAAACAATTGCGCAGGTCATCACAAACTTCAAATAGCAATTTATTCTTACCACTAACAGCACGTTCGCGTATTAGTTTGCGGGTATCCAAAATATCATCCAACAGGGCATTAAAATCCAAATGACTTTCAGCATTTAATACCCGGTTAGAGGAGGTTTCAACAAAACCAAACGATTGTAAAACACTATCCACATAATTGTTGACAGCTGCCACAGCATCCAAACACGAGGCTGTTATTAAGCCAACATCCTCATTCGCATGGGGACTGGTATTAATGCAACGACTGATGCTAGAAATTTGGTCTAATAAAATTCCAATACATCGTGCCGTATCAAAATCATCTTGTATACACGTTTCAATGTTGGATTTACAATAATTGAGATTTTTCAATATCGCCGAGGAAATTATGTTGGAGCCCACTTTCTTGCCACTCAAATAGGCCTGGCAATCGGTTTTGAAACTATGGAACTTGTTGAGCGTATTACGTGCTGTATCCATCATTTCCTTGGAGTATTCCATTGAATTTCTGTAGTTTGACAAAACACATGCCATGCGAAACTCATCTGCCGTATAGTCCTGCAACATTTCATCTATGGAAATGGTATTTTTCAATGATTTTGACATTTTTTCCTGCTGTCCTTTGATGTTCAAATAGCCAGTATGCAGCCAATAGTTAACCCATTGTCTTGTATTATGGAAGACACAACTTTGTGCCTCTTCATTTTCGTGATGGGGGAATTTCAAGTCCAACCCTCCCGCATGTACATCAACACTTTTGCCAAAGACCATGTTAGCCAATGTACTACATTCAATGTGCCAACCAGGTCGGCCCAAACCCCAGGGTGAAGACCAGGCTGGTTCGTTGTCAGCTTTGCGTGCCTTCCATAGTGCAAAATCCAATGCAGATAACTTTTGATGCTGCTCCTCTGGCTTCGATAAGATATTGCTTTCATTTAAATTCAGATTTTGCAGTTTGCCATAAATGGGAAATTGTTTTACATCAAAATACACCGAGGAATCCGCACCCACATATGCACATTTCTTGACAATAATATCATCTATGTAGGAAATAATTTGCGGTATATGTTCCGTAACACGTAGCTTAATATTTGGCTCTGTCACATTAAGTTTTCTTAAGTCCAACCAAAATTCTGCTTCGTAATGTTTGGAAATGTCACGCCAATCTTGGCCACTCTCTTGGCTCTTTTTTATGATTTTATCATCAATATCCGTTATATTCATGGCCGTTACTACATTCAAATTAAAATGGTGTTTCAAGATGCGTTGTATAATGTCCAACTTTACATAACAGCTGGCATGACCCAAATGGCAGGAATCATAGACTGTTGGACCACATGTATACCAAGTTAAGAAATTTTCACGTGGCAGTATCAGAGGAACTTGCCGCCTAGCAGCACAATTATAGACCCTTATACCCGTATCGACACCATCCGGCTTAAACCAATGATGTTGGGTACACATGGTCCGCAAGGGGTTAAATGCCGAAGGAAGCAGGGGAAGAGCATTGCTGAAAGGCAAAACAAATTGGTTTTAATAATCGAAATTGTCTCCATTTAACAATTAAACCATAAACTTTATGTAAAAACATACCCCAATTTTAACATTTCAGCCGGCTTTTTGAATTCCTTTCGTCACTTTTTGCAAAAAATAAAGAATAGTTAAGTAAACAATTACGTCGCTTGCATTTCTCTCTCTCATTGAATCGAAGAGTTCATAAAGGGAAATTTTTTGACATTTGTGTAAACTTTCTGAGTGTGGCAACTCTTATCATCTACAGCTGATAATTTGGTAATAATTCCATATTTACGTTTATCCATAATAAAAAAACATTATTAAATAAAAGCCGCAAAAATGATGCGCTATGAGGAAAATGAAAAACTGGCCGATACAACAGCTTGTGCCGGTGTCCGGGCTGATTTGAAAATGTGCCTCTTGGAAAGCGATTGCTGCAAAAAGGTAAAGTAAATTGAAAGCGGCGTGTCTTGCGAGACAGACAGTAATTCTCATAACTATTACAGGACAAGAAGACACCGCGTGAATGCCTACAGGCCAATTTAGTTCCAGAAGAGTGTCAAATGCTTCGTAATACATTTTTCGAATGCAAACGATCATTGGTGAGTAGTTTGGAATTGCGGAATATGTAAGAGGAGTAGCCATTACGTATTGGATTTTCTTTACAGCTTGACAATCGAATGCGTTTCCGAGGACACAAAGGTTACTGATGCGGGGTTCCTGCACACATTTTTAAGTTATTGGTATAATTTCTATGTAGTTTAATAAATATAAAAGTTGTTTCACAAAAAGGAATGTGTTCTTGTTTGTTTGATAGGGATGCCAATTGTGGAATATAGGGAATTATTGACGAAATAATTCCCACTCGCTGAAGCAGAAAAAATTGAAATTACAGACCTTATTTAAATATTAGAAAATTAATACTGGGCGACTGATTATTTTGCATTAAATTAATCAATTGCCATCGCTACTATGAGCTGCGATTTGCAGACAGGATATACTGAAATATACGATTTACACCAATATATGTATCAAAGGGATTCAGAAATACAAAATGAATTCATATAACTATTTAATGGTATTGAATAATAATTATTTCAATTCTACTTTTTATTCATTGGACAATATCAATGTCAATATGTACATTTATGAATTCATTGTACATACAGAATTCAGAGATGGGAACCTCTTTTCTATAGAGTAAAATTTGACATCTCTGTAAATTACAGAAATTGCAGAGATAGGTATGCTTATTTGATATGACTTTACCGTCTTAATTTTACCATGGGTTCGCCGTTATTTAATTTTTAGAATAAGTTGATAATGCGAATGTGGAATGAAATGACCGGATGTTCTTTCAAAAATTGAATCGAACCAAAGGCTAAGCTAGTTAATATTTTCTATGACAATGCAGGCCATAGATTAGATTATTTTGATATGAAATATTTTCTTTTGTGAAACATTTCATTTTGGCACTTTCTTCCTTTAGAAATGTTTTATATCACATAGAACAAGAACTCAACTTATTCAATTAAATCAAGGAACTAGAAAAAAATGCAACTCTCTTATTTTTATTTTAGTTTCAAACGATTGATTTGGCTTATGGCTCATTTATTCTTTACGATGCTGTATTAAAATGGAGCGCTATTATTTAAGCAGTTCCCCTATGCATTTGACATAGACATGAACATTTTTCCATCCGGTGGCAACTCTACATCAAGCCAACAAAAAATTCCTTCACATCAATTTGGGGAAGGGAAATTTTAGTTCAAACTGCCAACGAAAAGGGCGCCAGCCATTTTAAAGTTATCTTTCAAAGCCGCAACAGAGCGTCTTGAATACATTTTTCCCAATTATAAACAAAAAAGATTTAACAAAAAAATATGAGTGACTACTGCAGAAGTTTGTACAAGGAGAGCAGACAACCCTTTACGACCCAGCAACACAACAGACTGACGCGTCAATTACAGGAGGCGAATCGTAACAAACAAAGAAATAAACAATTTCAAAATTCCCGTCACATATCAGTCAGTCCAACGCCAAGGAAGCCTTTGCTATCAGAAAAAGCAAATCTCAACAGTGCAAATAAAGCTTATAACGTTGTGGAAGGAACGCGCACAGCATCTGAAAAAAGTTATCCCAACAGTGCAAATAAAGCAAATAATGTTGTGGAAGCCGTGCCAAAGGGGTCGCGCACAGCAACCGAAAAAGAGAACATCAAAGATGCAAACAAAACAAATACTGTTGTGGAAGTTGTTACAAAGGGGTCGCGCACTGCAAAACTTATTTGCACTGCTCGGGATCCAGAGAAAATTAAGAAACAAGAAGCCTTTATATTAAGATTTCTCGATTGGAAAGATAAGAAGAAAGCGATGATGGAACAAAAGAAAGCTGAGGCAACTAAAAAGAAACCATTTGTATCGGCTGTTGGAAAGCATTCAGGATTTACTGGTGGTGGCGGTGGTGGTAATAGTTGTAGTAGCTCAGGTCTTTTGGCGCCAAATACATCGGCGACACAACGTCATAATCAGGGGAGTTTTGTGCCCAAAGGATATGCAGATTTCCAGCCTCCACCAGGTATAAAGGAGCCAGGGGAAACTGTAAGTAGAAAAAATAGGCAACATTTCTTTGTGTTAGGTCGGCTCGAGCTTTTTATACCATCCACCATGCAAAAGCTGGATTTAGTCAAAACCAAAAAGTTAGAAATTTCCTTTATAAAGGATCAACAATGAGCCTTTATTGAATGTTTTTTGCAATATAGCTCATCTACTGAGAACTTCATATGTTAGAATCGGATTGACAGAATTGAATTTGATGGTGGAAGGTATAAAAATATACATAAATTTGTGAGACATTTTAGTTAACTTTTATAAAATATCTTTCTATCTCACACTAGCTCAAGGACAAAGCCAAAGGCAGGCAATCGATATACACAGTGGTACCAACACCACCCAAAAAGAAACCAGAAAGTGTTGTGAAAAACGTACCCCTAAGCAGGAAAGTTTTGTCAACGAATTTCACCGCGAATGCCGTGAAAACAAAAATAACAAACAAGCCAACACAAACAACAAATACGGCAGTAAGAATGCCACCACCACCTTCCAGAAAACCTCTTCAGACAACAGCATCAGGCCCGGGCAATGTTGGGAAAAAGAATTTACCGGCCATCAAGGTAACAAATACAGCAACTGCAGCAGCAAAATCGAAGTTCGGCAATACAGCAGCTACACGAAAACCTATAGAATCCGCTCGGCAGCAACATAAGAAATCACCGCTAAAACCCCAAAAGAATGCCCGGTTAACACAGACCATGAAGGCCAAGAAGCCGATAAAGAAGCCCAACACAAACACTAACGACAAGTTACGTTCACTAATGGTTAATCAAGCTAGTGAAATTGTATCCGACATGATAGTCCAGACACCCAGAGATTTTTCCAATTCTAATCATTTTGAGGAATTTGTAACCTCAACGAAAGTAAAGAACTCCAGTACAACACTGGAGGATATTGATGGCGTAAGTCCCATAGAAATGTTATCGAAGCGAACTTCAAGTCATTCGACGGCAAAGAGGAATCTTCTCAAGGATGCCTGCACCTCAAATATGATTGTAACATCAAATCCACCAATAGAAAAGAAATTCAATTTCATACGATATTCAGAGGTAAATGTTAGTTTTGGCGATAGTCCCAAGGAAGGTGATAAAAAGGACGACTACGATGATGATAAGGTAAAAGCGAATAATGAAGATCTTGAAACTCCCTCTGAGGAAGCGAAAGTGGTGAAAGAAAATCCAATTTCACCGCCTAAAGTGCTCCTAAATAACACCTTAACACTAGAACCTGCCGAAGCAGTAGTAGAAAAAACGCCAACAAAATTGTTGTGTGAAGAAAGACCCATCAACTACTTAAGTCCGTTTGTTAGTGTTAGTCGGGGCAAAGTAAGTATGAAAAAAGAAAAGGAAAGACGCAGCAGCGTCTACGTAATTCATCGGACGGAAGAAGAACTTAATAACTCCAAGCGCCAGTCACTTCTACCCTCTAACGGCGTCGAAGAACCTAAATTACCACAATACTCGGCAGAAGTTTTGCAAACATTAGAGGCTGTGCGCTATTTCCGTAAGCAGTTACAAAATGAAATAGACCGCCTTCATGCCAAATGTGACCTTTGGGAGGAATATAAAAAGGATAATTTGGAAAAATTGCAAGCTGTCAATGGAGATGATATGATCGATGTGACCATAGGACAAACCAAGCTATTGACCAGCAAGAAATTCATGCAGTTCAAAGGTCTCATAGATCGTTGTGAGGCCCGGGCAACCGGCATCAATGATGTTCCGGATGATGGTAGTGAAAAGACCAAAAATGTGGATGCCGTTGATTTGGAAGGTTTCTGGTCAATGTTGGGACTGCAGGTGGATAATCTTGAGAAACGTTTTGATAATCTGGAACGTTGGAAGGCCAATGATTGGCAAGATCCCGATGAGGTGAAACCAAAACCCAAAGCGAAGGACAAGAACTTGGCTAAAGTAAAGAAACCAAAAGCAGCGCCGAACAAGGCTAGGCCCAACTCAGAGTTGCAAAAAATGTTACGTAAAATGCAGGAGGATATGCGTAACAAAAAGGCAAATAACCATTTGGCTAATTCAGATGTTGTCGTTTTAACGCCATCCAAGGTGAGAGATCGTAAATACTTCTCTCCAGCCCCCACGGTACTGGCCGTACCTGCCTCCAATCGAAGGCTATCAACGTTATTGGCAGCAAATGTAACCGAAGGTTGCGCCTCTCCAAATCGTCTGTCTTTGCTGGTGCGGAAAAATGGCGAGGACATTTCTTGCGGGACAAAGAAGAAATCTTTAACACTGAATGGTTTAGATTCTCCAAGACTATCAAATGGAAGGGTGGCCAATGCCGAAGTCGCTGCCGCCACCGCCTATATGTCACCTATAGTAAAAGGTCGTAAATCGATACTAAAAACTCCCGGCACAGGTCGGACTAAACTGCAAAATGTTGTATTCAATGAAAAGTTAAGAGTTAGAAAATTCAAATTCATTGTCAACGACGAGGATGCCAATGTGGTCGATGATAATGCCGATGAATGCAATAAATCCGATGAAGAGCAGCTAAGGGAAAACAAAAATGGCAAGTCAATGGATAAATTACAAATGTTTATTTTATTGAAATAATATTTGTTTGTTTGCAGAATCTGACAATGAAGAATCTTGCGCTGAGGCAAAACTGGGTACTTATTCATTAAGGAATCGTAAAGTCCGTTTACGCCCATCATGTGAAATTGTTATACCCAAATAGTTATAGATAGCGAAGATGCGCTAGAATTTATCTTAAATATGTATCTCCTCTTAATTGTTTTACATACATGATTAAAATATTTTAATGTTTAATGTGTTATTGTATTAATTAATATTGTCTCCATGTTGTTCCAAGTTTAGCCACCTATGTCACAACACCACATTTTACATTTTCATTGCTCTCATTTGTGTTATTTGTCTCTGTGGAAATAATAGTAGTCGTTTGTTTCAATCCATAATCTATTTGATTTATATTTATTATCTTTTTGGTATTTATAGTAATAAAACAATTACAACACAAATAACAAAATTGTTTAATTTTGTATTTAATAGTACCTCTAATAGAGGAAGCTCAGAAAGGGGTTTACTTATAGAAAAACTGCGATGATATATTCAATCCACAGACGAGACACTGAAACATAGAATAATCTTTGAATGGGTTAACGTCGGCACCATCCTCTTTAGAATATCTAAATAACTGCTATAAAATATTTGTGGAGAAAACTGAAAAAATTGATATATCTCTTGAAAAATTGAGACCTTTGCAATTAAGTTCTTTAGATAGATAGAAATCCTGAGAAGGAAGATATTTTCTATAAAAGACGGGATATATTCTTCAAGTATAAGACATAGTTTAGGTGCATTATGCCAAGTGTAATTAGTCTAGAGATTTTTTTTTTTTTTGAAATTTAATTACTGCTAGTGTGAGCAATCTATCCTCCGAGGAAGTCTAGAGACAAGAATTTAAAATGTTTTAATTTCCAGCTGTCAGTTGCCTTTTCGACATGTCGTACAACAATTTCCAACTTGCGAGCACCCCGCTCAAAGTATTCCGCCAAAATCCAAAATGCATATGTACTCACCTGTCAAACAACATTTTAGTGCTTGGCTCTTAATAACATTAACAATTACATTTCCATTTCATTATTTTTTCAATAGAAAAGAACTTTTCAGCAAATTTCACAATTAAAATTTAATTTAATTTTCCTCAACAGTGCTACCAACATTTCCAACACCTTTCTCTATGCCCAGCAAATACAACTCTGTGTGTTTTTCTTCCATCAAAGTAAACGAATGTCATCGCAAAACACATTCACAGAAAATTTCCTTTCATACACGATATCGTACAAATCTGAAAAATATTCATTTATAATTTTGAAAATTTATTTAAAATTCATTGGTGGAAAATGCAAATAAACAAATAAAAGAGAAACAGTGTTTAGCTTTAAGTGAAAAGTGCAAGCAGGCCGCAACAGTGGTCGAGAAAAATCGCGCTAATTCCCTTGCCAAGATTTCATTACGGTGGGGTTAGTAGTGGCTAGTGAAGAAATCACGTAGTATATTCCAGTGTTTTGTAAAATATTTGTGTTGGACTTGATTTTATTGCATGCAGATTGCAAGAATTATAAACTTAAAGTGTTAAATTAATGGCATTTTGTACGCTATAGACGATAACAGCAACAATATGGGTAAGTTTTGCAATTTAAACGAGTATTTGTTTTGAAAAGATTTGCCTTCGCATTTCAAATTGAATTTTCAATTGATGATTGTTGGTTGTGGTTATTTGTTGTTGCTGTTTGCCTGTACCAGCCACAACAGCCATGGCAAACGCAAATGATATTGCTAACCCAGTGTTTATTTCAATAACAATTAAATGCTGCAAATTGCTTAGAAAATTGATCTATCCCAATACTTGCAGTATTTCACAAATCTGATTTTTATTATTTATTTTCCTTCCCACAATGTGCTTTTTTGTTTTCTTATTCAATAAAATCATGACAAATAGTGCACCATCCACGACCAACGGCCGCTGTCATTTATTTGCTAACGGGATTATCTCGAAAAGGGAAGAAAACGTTAAATCGCACAAAGAAGTAATATATTTCTTGGACAATCCCAATTAAATATTGTATTTTTAGGTGGAATACTCATATCATGTCTACTATTTGGAAGAATTCCCTCCTTATTTATCATATTGTTGCCTCCAATTTTTTTCTTTGATTAATTTCAAAGAGTTGCCCATCTCTAATTTATGGCTTTTTAGTGGTTGCCATATGATTTAATTTCCCTTTTTACTTGGTTGTGTGGGAGATTTTGAACAATCTGGCCAAATTTTTCTCTCATCACCATCATATGTTGGGATATTTTGTAGTTCTTTTCTTTGACATTTCATATTGGCACATTTTGGGGGTTAGTTTTACGCAATTGCCTGCAATTGAGGAAAAATAAAAGATCCAAAGAATTTTCCGTGAAAACTCTTGCAATTAAATAAAAGGTAAGAGAAAATCGTTGAAATTGAAGGCAAATAATAAGAACGTGCATTTGTTTTCTAGTTTTAATTGGAATTTTACTCAATATGTCTGCCTTATATGCTGCCCGTCATGTTACCGGTGTGACTTCTTCGGTTTTGTCGAGATGCACGGCCGTAAGACGTTGCCTAAGCACAGCACGTTTGGTGCGTTCTGCCAAAGGCTCCCCCTCTGCCTTGTTGCATTTGAACAAACATTTGAACCCCATGGCCTCTTATTCGGCCGGATTCCAAAAATTTGTACGAGAATATGCTTCCGAAAAGAAAGTATTCGAACGCACCAAGCCTCACTGTAATGTTGGTACAATTGGTCATGTTGATCATGGCAAAACTACCTTAACTGCCGCCATTACCAAGGTCTTGGCCGACAAACAATTGGCTGAAAGCAAGAAATACAATGAAATCGATAATGCCCCCGAAGAAAAGGCCCGTGGTATTACCATCAATGTGGCCCATGTGGAATATCAAACCGAGAATCGCCATTATGGTCACACCGATTGTCCTGGCCATGCTGATTACATTAAGAACATGATCACCGGTACTGCCCAGATGGATGGCGCCATTTTGGTTGTAGCCGCAACTGATGGTGCTATGCCCCAGACCCGTGAACATTTGTTGTTGGCCAAGCAAATTGGTATTAACCACATTGTGGTCTTTATCAACAAAGTTGATGCTGCTGACCAGGAAATGGTTGATTTGGTAGAAATGGAAATTCGTGAATTGCTTAGTGAAATGGGTTATGATGGTGACAACATTCCCGTGATTAAGGGTTCCGCATTGTGTGCCCTGGAGGACAAAAATCCCGAAATCGGTTCCGAGGCCATTTTGAAACTTCTCAACGAGGTGGACAACTTCATTCCCACACCCGTACGTGAATTGGACAAACCATTCCTTTTGCCTGTTGAAAATGTCTACTCCATTCCTGGTCGTGGTACTGTTGTAACTGGTCGCTTGGAACGTGGTATTGTTAAGAAGGGCTTCGAATGTGAATTTGTTGGCTACAACAAGGTGATCAAGTCCACCGTTACCGGCATTGAAATGTTCCATCAAATTTTGGATGAAGCCCAGGCTGGTGATCAGTTGGGTGCCCTCGTTAGAGGTGTAAAACGTGATGAAATCAAACGTGGCATGGTTATGTGCAAGCCCGGCAGTGTCAAGGCCTTGGATCAATTGGAAGCCCAAGTCTATATTCTAGCCAAGGAGGAAGGTGGTCGTTCAAAACCTTTTATGTCCTTCATTCAATTGCAAATGTTTTCACGTACCTGGGATTGTGCTGTCCAAGTGCAAATCCCCGACAAAGAGATGGTAATGCCTGGCGAAGACACCAAATTGATTTTGCGTTTAATACGTCCCATGGTCCTGGAACAGGGTCAGCGTTTCACCTTGCGTGATGGTAATTTGACTTTGGGTACTGGTGTAGTGACCAAGGTATTGCCTCCCTTGAGCGAAACCGAACGTCTCTCGCTGACAGAGGGCAAGAAGGCACGTGAGAAGAAAATGGCCGATAAAAAGTAAAATTATTATGTAGTTTGTAATTAAAATCTATGATAAGTTCTTATTATTTTACGATACCTTTTGATTTTTCTTAAAGAAAATATTATGTTGCACCTTTTTTGTAATTGGCTAATTGAAAAGAGCATTTTTCAAGAAGAATTGTCATTTCTTTAAAAAAATGTATTAATGATTTTCTGTTAAGTTTGATAAACTGCAGTGGAAAGTTATCCCATAGCATAAAAAGGAAATGATGAAAAATTAACAAAATAAATATGAAGGAAAATCAACTCAACCTGTGGTTTTTGTTGTTAGGGTTTGAGGCAATCATCATTAGTAGGCAATGCAAGGCAAATCTCTCATCTTTTGGATGTATATGAATTTAAACAATTCTTGTTCTTTTACATTTTAGACAGCCTTGAAGATTCCTCATCAGTGCCGGAATTCAGTTTTGATGATTTACTCGAACCATCACCGGCCAAGAAAAATGGTAAATCGCCAGACATCGACGAAGATTCTTTGGAATATGAAATTGAAGAAAAAGACGATAGCCTCAATACACCAGAACCCAAACAGAAATATCGCATGGTGCCCAAGACGATAACGAATAGTTTTATCAGTAACAAAGCTGTACCGATGCGTACAAATCTTGCAAAACCGGCAGGCCAGATGGCAACATATGTAAAAAATCCTGGCAATGGCGGGGGCGCTGGAGTAGGTAATACATCGTCATCATCGGCCGCTCCCATACTTTTGAATACAAAAAATATTTTGCCTAAAATGGCTGCTCAAATTACCAATAATTCAATTAAAATAACACCCAAAACTGTATCATCCTCCGCGGCTGGCAGTGGTGGAGTAGTTACAGCATCTACATCTGGCACCTCTTCGGTTCTATCGATTGGTGGAAAGACGGCGGTACGAACAGCATCGGGACACTTGTTATATATACAAAAAACGACGGCCTCTAGTACGGCAACAACCACTGGAACAGCAACCAAAGTTGCTGGGAATACAACCACAATGTTAAAAACTCAGCAAAATGCTGCAGGAGGAGGAGGAGGAGGCAATAAACCAGTGACAATACAAGTTATGCGTAATGCTGATGGTAATTTTGTTCCCTTGAAAACATCAACAGGACCCAATGGCAAAAATACCACTCTAACACTATCACCCACAGCCACGCTGGCTGGAAAGAAAATAATTGCTTCGACGGCGGGAGGTCAGGTACTGATTAAAAGCCTCAACTCCTCTGGGGTAACCAGCTCATCTAATCCGGGCGTTAAAACCATGGTTGTTAAGCAAACAACTGGCGCCAATACAACACTAGCGGGCGAGCTTTCAAAACCCAAAACAATTACGGTGCAAACTTCCGCTGGTGGAGAGGCAATGGGAAAACCCAAAACAATTACAGTGCAAACTTCCCCAGGTGGAGACGGAATAGGAAAGCCCAAAACTTTTCTGGTTCAAAGTAATAGTGGTAAACAAATTTTGGTTACCAATCCAAATTTGGTAAAACTATCACAAAAACCTTCGACGTCCGGTGCCGGAATGAGTAGCCAGGCAACAACCACAACGACGTCTGTAACCAATAATAGCACAGCTGGTTCTATACAGACCGTACAGATTTCTAGTAAACAAGGTTTGCAATATCTTCGAGTTGTACCACAGACAAAAACATCAACAGCCGGAGGAACGGGGCAGGAAAAGGTTGTGACCACAACGTCAGTGGCGAAACCACTTAGCACCTCAACAACAACAACTACAGCGACGGCGTCAAAACCCCTTACCCCTTCAGCGCCCGTAAAAATCTTAAATAATCTGCCGCAAAAATTCACTGTGGTACAAAAAGGTGGTGGCACCAAAGTGGTGGTTACCCAGAAAAAAGATGCCAATGGTGTGGAATTTACACCTATTGCATCTAAGGTGCAAAAAACTATTGTTGCAATGCCACCAGTAAAAGCTGTCACTGAGGGGACAGCCCATAGCAAACAGCAGGAGTCCACAAGGACACCACAAACAATGGCTGGAGCCGGCCAAAATCCCATTGGAAATCAAGCAATACTGCGTAAACATAAAATCTCGGAAATAAATACAGAGCTAAAACGGATAACAGCCTCGGATGCTGACGATAATGGACCACCTGAAGTCAAGAAACCGACATCCAATAATCGCATGGTGGTAATTGCCAGCAATGCACCCACAATTTTGAATAGTGGAAGCCAGCAGCAGCAACAGATTTCGGGACGACTTTCAAACTCAGCTGGTGTTAATTCATTGCAGGTGCAGGGCACCAGGACAGCAGCAGCCAATAACAACAGTAACACTAATCCCACCGGAGCTACACCCAGGACAAGGATAGCAGCTGGTGATAAAATGTATACCCTTGTAAAATCCTCAGGACAACAAAATCCACCCAAGCTTTATAGTGTTTTAAAAGGCAATCAAGTTTTAAACACAACAACCACAACCAGTCAAACAACATTTACCGCTCCGGCGGCCACCCAGAAAACATTAATTAATCAACAAGCTGTTTTAAGGCAGCAGCAACAGCAACAACAAAAGGTTTTCCATTTAAAACAAATGCAAAAATCTAAAACATCGAATCAGTTGGCCGCCCCAATGACGACGGCCTCCCACTATAGCTCAATCGAAATCAAAGAAGAACCATTAGAATTTTTCGAAAGCTCCTCCTCCACCACGACCACAGTCGTCGAAACTAAACAGCATCAAAAACCATTGGCATCCACATTATCATCAGCATCTCTTCTAACATCATCATCCGCATTAAATAACCCCTCATCGTCGACGTCCGCATCATCATTGCAAAATTTACCTTCAATCTCTGCAGAGCTCAAAGAAGATCCTAACAAATTAGATTTGGTTGGTGCTGTACGACGCAAACACTGCAATTGCAGCAAGTCCCAGTGCCTCAAACTGTATTGTGATTGTTTTGCCAATGGTGAATTCTGTCAGGATTGTACGTGCAAAGATTGCTGTAATAACTTGGAAAATGAGGATGAGAGACAGCGTGCCATACGTAGCTGTTTGGAGCGGAATCCCAGTGCATTTAAGTAAGTCTTTTAGGTTAGGAATCCTACTTTTTTAAATTATTTTTTGTAAGAGACTTCAGTTCAGGAATAGCTTTTTTTGGATATTTTCCTTAATATAGAATATCCTCCAGTTTAGTATTCATAAATTTTTCTAAAATCGTTATTTTTATTCAGGCCATTCTCATGAGAATCGCCTCGGTTTCCTATGAAAAAGAACCACAAAAATGGCTCACATTTAATTCTCGTCTTTGTGTGTACAGTACACATGATAAATAAAATGATTGCATGTGTGAACCCCTCATTAGCTTAACTGTCAATTTTGAATTTAAACACTCGCAGTCCTGATTTAGACTAGTCGAGTTTAGTTTCTGCAATTTTTTGATTCTCTTTGGAATTGTCCATTTGCATTTATATAGAAATTTATTTTCAGCAATTTTCGTTTTTCATCATTACCTTCAAGAAATAAAAACACAAAAGTAATTGCCATAACAAGCAAATTGTTCTCTATTTTTAATCTTCTTACCTTTCTCTCCTTCAAACAGAGGTCTGTGTATACAGTACACAATGTAAATGAAAAACATGATTGCATGTGAATCCCCCGTTAGCTTAACTGTCAAATTTGAATTTAGCCATTTTTTAATTTACAACCTAGTGGCCTTTGGCATTAAACCTCCAAGAAAACTAAACTAAAATCCATTTATTTTATTCCTGCAGGCCAAAGATTACATCATCCAGTGATCTCGGAGATATGCGTCTACATAACAAAGGCTGTAATTGCAAGCGTTCCGGTTGCCTCAAGAACTATTGCGAATGTTATGAGGCCAAAATACCATGTAGCTCGAATTGTAAATGTGTGGGTAAGTAAAGCCGAAAATGGAATATATGATTTTCAAGAACTAAAGTTTAATATGACTTTCCATATTTTCAGGCTGTCGAAATGTTGAAGATCGTCCCGATTTGGATATGGATCCTGTCGATCCCAAAGTTATGGCCACAATTGCAAATGCCTCTGCCTCGACTAGTCACAAACGCCCGTATGACAAATCATCACAGCGTGATTCACACGGTAACATTAAAAGCGAAAAATATGGCAAAGAGGCCGTCAAACAGGAATATGGAGCAGAGTTGAACAGCGATTTGGCACCACCAGAAAAACAACAATGTAATTTCATTACCCAAGAAGTTGTCGATGCCACCATCCAGTGCATGGTCACCCAGGCGGATGAGTGTGAAAAGAACGGTCTGCCCGCCTATCAAATGGAAAAAATGGTCATGGAAGAACTTGGTCGTTGTCTGGTGGAAATTATCGATTTCTCCATACGCAATACGGACACCAGTTATACACAAGATTAAAATCAAGATGTAAATGACCAAGTCCCCAATTTTTGTTTCAAATTGTTAAATTATTTTTAATAAAAATGCTAAGTTCGTTTTTAAAATAAATACAAAAAAATAAGTAGCAGTTTTAAGTAATATATATATATATATATTTCTGAATATTTAACAATAGATTTTAAAATTTAAATATATATAACTAACAGAAAAGAAAACATTTGTACATACCTCAGATTTGAATGCAAAAGAAAATTACAATATTTTCTTTAAAAAATGAAAGAAATTTAATATCCAAAACTTTTTGAAAGTTTTTCAAAGTGTATTCTATAAGAATTAAATTTAACTTAGTTGTAGCAGCTTCCTTTCTAATTCAAATTTATTTTTTTGTTATAAATCACTAAAATTCAGTTTATTTTTACTACTATTTACATTTTTATTTGATAGGAATATTTTTTGGTTTATTGACTTAGTTTTTTTATTTCAGTTACTAATGCATCTATTTTTTATGGTTAAGATTGTAATGTAATATTGTAAGGCAAGTGTAAATATTAGTAATCAATAAATTTACAAAAAAAAAAACAATAATTGCTAGCATTTTGTAACAATAGAGGGTGCATGTCTTTTATGGGGAGTCTTCTGTAGGTCTTCTCACCATTAAATATCAGACCATCTATGTTAGAAGAGATCTGGTTATTTTCTAAATGGAGCTCGGCCCCTTTATACTAATCTATTCAAAGATCACATTACTTCAATGAGAAGGCATCCTTATCCAACATATGTATGAGAAAACCTTCTAACTTATGACGAATGCAAAAAAAAAAAAAAAAAAAAAAAACAAAATTATTACAAACATGGTTTTTAAATTTTGAATTTAACTAGAAAACACTAAAAACACAAAAAACTCGCTTGAATTGGTATTTTCCTTTTCAATTCATTTTTGTATCGTCATACAGCAACAAGCCCTCAGATCTTCTATGGGTCGTAGGTTTAGATATTCTTCTATAAAATCACTTGAGGGCATCCTATGAAAAATATCTTCTGTGGGAGCATACAATAGGTTCTGCTGTGGGAGGAATATCGGGTTTCGATTAGAAAATTTGAGTTCTTCAATGATAAGAACTCAGATTGGTCTTAATTTGTCCCATTATGGAAAAACATTCTCCACCAAGCAAAAATCTGTCGTTATCTGTTAAATTCCCCTCTTCAATTGTGGTTTGATTTTTTCATCTTAAATTGTGCCGCATAACAAAGAGGAAGACTAGCTTTTGTATGTCTGACAACGTTAAGTTGATTTATAAGCGACATTTAACACTAATAACCACTTTAAGACACTCCATTCGGACGTGAACTAAGGAAAAAACAACACACATTCGTAAAATGTGTTAAAATATAGCACACACACACTCAAATTTTATGCTTTAATCTTCCATAATGAAAAAAGGATGTGAGTTTTGGGGATTAAGTGTATGCTTACTTTTATCGCCTCGGGTATTTATCGAAAGTATGGTCATAAATCAGAGACCAATCTGAAGGCTTCTGTGTTTTGTGCCTGAAAAATAAAGGAAGAGGCTAGGTATTAAAATCGCTAAATGTTATACGGCATTATAAGGATTTAATTTAAGAAAAAAAAATACATATTAAAGGCTTCTAAGTCGTCTTGAGAAAAAACCAAGTATTCTACTTCCACGAAAAGTAAAGGTCTCCAGGAAGTCCCAAAGATGGTTAGATTGTTTTTACAAAATAATTTTTAATTAATATTAGTTTAACGCAAAAAATAGGTTTACCCACCTACTGCCTTGTTGCGATCTGTTGACACAGTTGACAACAGTCTTTAACAAGTGACGATTTGGCGCCAATGCTGACATGTCGAGATCTCTTGCTCTCTCTAACATCAATGATGTGCATAACTAAATTGAGAGTGTATGACAGTGTTGCCATCAAGAAAGCTGCATATTACACGCGGGAAGAATTACACATATGTATATCAACATTTTTTTTAAATATTTTTTATTGACAAAAATTACTATATAGCGCACAAAAAAGTAAATTCATTTTATATCAAGTTTATATAATAATCTATAACTAAAAATATATTTTTAGATGTATTTAGAAAGTCTCAAAGTTTTCTAATTTTGTGTTGGGCAGCAAGGGTTTCGTGAAAGTTTATGTGGCCAGATTTTCATAATCCAAAAAAAGTCTTCAGAATGGCCTTGAGGTAAACCATTTTCTTTTTAAGAATTTAAGAGAATTTCTGTTATGTCCAACAACACTCTTTTCAACAATCCCTTCATAGAAATGGTATTGATATTAGACACAATAAAATTTACCTTTTGTTTTGATTTTACAACAATCCATGGTGGTTATTGCCAGGCATTAACATCAATTTACTAGGAGTAACAAAAAAAAGAAAACAATTGGAAGAAGAAAAAAAGTAGTGAAATAAAAGCATTTCAATGAAGTTAATGCTAATCATGCTAAAATGCCAAGATATGTATTTCTTTTTCCCAGCCACCATCTCCGTAAGTTCCGAGGCAATAAGCTAAGCGAAACAAAAACAAAAGGACACAACGCTTTTAGCAACGCACAAAAAGCAACAAGTGTTTCTATTACATATTGTTGTTGCTGTTGTAGTCATTATTATTTTTATGGTTTTTGTGGACAAAGCACCGTTATCCCTTAATGTGTGGCAGGCAGAGTTTTATGTCTCTAGAAAGCATCATAGAAGAAAATATCATCTGCACACAATCTTCTATTGACACCCTGCATCAATTTTTTATCCGGCAACTGCGATTGGTGGGATAATTTGGGGGATGTAGCTCATATTGGCAACATCCCCTTTGAATGTGACCAACATGAGATGCGCAAACTCCAAAACTACATGTTCTAGAACATTGTAAAACAATGAAATAATTTATGTTGTGTCAGAAAATAGAAACAAAATTTTGTGGCTAAAATTTAATTTTCAAAGAAAAATGTTGATTTTTTAAACAAAAAACATATATTTGAGAGAGAAAAGGGAAATTAAATTAAAGAAAATTTAATAGTTAGAGAGAAAATTATTATTTCGCTAAAAGTTTTTTTAGTTATTTTATTACAGAATTAAGAACAAAGGAACTAATTATTGGATTTGTGTTTATTTCTAAACAAAGGGCAAATGTTCTCTGATAAAAATATAGTTTTTCCTCAAGATCTTTTAGAAATCCATTTTGTCCAAAATATATGTTTTAGAATAATTTTTATAAATCTCCAAAGAACACTATTTGTCAAGAATACAATTTTGAGTTCAATTTTTCATAAAACTAGAATCTATGATAATTTGAAATAAAAGCTATTATGAAGGAAAGGAATGTGAAACGAAATAAAAAATATATAAAGTATATATTTTTCACTTTAAGTTTTCATAGAACAAGAATTCAGCCAGAATCCAGGATTTTGGTATTACAAAGTCTAAAGTCAATGTTGACTTGTGTCAGTGGCAAAAATCGCTATATCAGTTTTTTTGCCCATCGATTTTAAGATCGCAGATTCAAGGTCAATTTTCATACGAGCCAAATAAAATATGGCAACCCTGTGAAGATACCTCTGTTGTTGTGATATCATAACAACATAGTTACCAATGTTAACTGATTTAAAGCGCTAGTGGGAATATGCAAATTTTCGGAAAGGTCAATGAAATAGTTTTTTTGAAACTACATTTTTGGATTTTTCAAACATTTATTTGTTATTCGATTCTGTAATTGTGGTTTTTGTATTAACATGGCTCTATCATGAGCTGTTACTCTATGTATTGTAGACACAAACCATTTGTCGTAGTGCCTGAAAAATGCCTCGTGAGCTGAACATATTGCAATATTCCATTCTACATATATGGAAAAATGAGCTCGGGGTAAAGCCATTGAAATCCCAAAAAGTGCAAGAACTTACACCACCACAGATAGAAAATAGACTCAAAAGAGCTTGCTTCTCTTGGCCGAAAGTGGTGAACTGCCGAATTTGGTTTTCTCCGATGAGAAAACATTCGTTGTCAAGCAGTTTGTAAACAAATAAAATGATCGTGTTTACTTGCCAAAGAGATCAGCAGAAAATGTGCACCTTCGGTTGGCCACCAGAACTCAAGTGCCCGCCATGGTGATGATGTGGGTCGCGATAACAGACGATGTTCGCTCTCCGCTCGTATTTATCGACCGTGGTATTAAAATAAATGCCGAGTATTTTTGTGAAAATATTCTGAAGGGTGTATTAAAGCCTTGGGCACGCAAACCTTTTGGCCCCAGACATTGGATATTCCAACAGGACTCAGCACCATTGCACCCAAGAATGGTTACAAAATGAGGTTCCTCGCTTCATTTCCAGCGCACAATGGCCACCAAAATCTCCGGATACTAATACGTTGGACTATTATGTCTAAAGTACTTTGGAAAGCAAGGTTGGCACTAAAAAATACCAAAGAGTCGATCACCTAAAGCAAGCGCTTCGCCGGGAATGGGCCAAAATACCGTAGAGAAACATTAGGGCTGCGTGTGACGGTTTCTTTGGCAGTTTGAAGGCCATAATTCGTGTCAAAGGCGACCAATTCGAACAAATCTAAACTTATTTTAAAATTTGATGCTATTTCCGACATTTTTTGCTTTCATTCAATAAATTTAAAAACAATAGTAGGGGATTGAGCCTGATCATTTTGCAACAACAAAATTAAAAAAAGGATAAATTATGGCGTTTGACTTTGTTGCAGTTTTTTATCTCACTCTGTAAAATTCATCTTCCTGAGATATGGGACAAATAACTGCCTTTTTAAATGTTTTTTTTTTTTGTTTTAAATACGTAGATTCGTATATCTTTACCCTTACGACGCCAATCGGAGGTTATTATGACATGCATTTTTTAACAATTTTTACAAATTTCAATATTTTTCCATTCAAAATTGTCAATTTCAAAATTGGTTTGACAGTTTATTGTCACATCAGCTGTGTCGATGCGACTAGCTTTATTCTTCCCCCATGATTTATGATATTACATTTTGCATGGTAAAAGAATACAGGTAGTCGCATCGACTCAGCTGCTGGGACAATGAAATGTCAAACCGATTTTGAAATTGAAAATCTTGAATGAAAAACATTACAA